AAATTTTGGAGTATTTAACCTTTCGTAAATACCGCCCCAGCTCTCTTTATCTTTCGGTGATTTGTGTTTATTATTATTCACCAATACTGATCTGTTACTACCCTTTGAATCTCTTCTACATATTAATGAAGGTATTTCTCATTCAACAGGGATAATGCCCCAAGTCCGGAAATCATCAATACAATGAATGAAGACTATTACGATGAACATGAATTTTACCTGACTGGCAATGATGCAATTGGACACCCGGATGCTGATGACGCAGACTCTGGCCTATCTACAGATGAAAGGCACCCTATTGAGAATGTCAGGGATGAATACATTCTAATTCTATATGACAGTATTCGCTATGCCCAGACTCATCATGAAGATCACAACCAGGCATCGGAAGATCTAGAGCATGGTATTAGCATAGCCCTCCATGTGAACGAAAACTCTGAAGGCAATTTCACAGATCTACAGCAAAGCCTTGCAACAGAGACAAACCCGTACTATGAAAACATAAATCTTGACCAATCCACAAGTGACAGAACTCCTAATGAGAATATCAGTGATGAAGAACTACACGAGTGTATTCAGTATTCTCATACTCACCATGAAGATAACCAGGACTCCGGAGACAGTTTCACAAATGGAGATCTGAGCCCCGAAACTGAAAGAAACCTCAACTCTGAAGACATAAATGAAAGAATCCCAACTAATAATTTATGTGAAGTTCGTAATGTACATTCTCACCATGAAGATGAGGACCAGAATGCAGAAAATCCAGTGCATGCTTCCAGTATCATAAATGATATTCCTGGACATTCAAGGGCCAATATTGACGAAACCGACAACTTAACAATTGAAAAGCTCCAGGAAGGAACAAATGAAGGGAGAAAAAGGAAACATGAATCAGAGGAAATGAATGGTGAGCCTTTTAAACGCCAGTGTAGAGAGATTGTTCAGGCTGAAAGCTCTTGCACCGTTAGTTCTCCAAGTCATTCCTCAGTCAGCGAAGATACCTTCACCAACCTACAGTAAAAAATAAATTGCCTGATGATTTTATCATCATCATTGGACAAGTTCAGAGCGCAGAATTTCCTGTTGCTTTCATTTCTAAGCAGCTAGCAGACTTGTGCACTCGCCACCAAGTCTGACACGCTCCGCCCGCTCATGCTCCACACCCTGTGATCAATCACAGGGTGTAGAGCATGTACGTGCGGAACGTTTCAGACTTGGTGGCGGGGCCATTGTTCTGCTAGCAAGGAAATTCCAAGAGGTGTAACGACGAAAGGAGAGGGATAGCGAAAGGGAGAGATAGGAGGAGGGGGGAAAGGGAGAGGGAGGATTCAATTCAAATACAAAACACTTTATTTTTATTTACCTGATTTGTCCGAATAAGCAACGGGGAAGCTCCCTGGCTGGCCCCCTGTGACCGGGAGGGCAGTCAGATTTCCCTCTGACTGCGGGACCATGAGATGCCATAGTTTGCTGAGCTGCTAGGCGGCTGCGGAGAGGAGGTATAAACACGTTCACTAGTATAGTAGTATAATATTGTTACATCTACAATTTGAACTGGTGTCTTATCTCTTTGGGGAGTGATTGTATGGGTGTGAGTGCCCATAGGTATGGCTGGATGTTGGAGGCTGAAGTTGGAGATTACGGCGTTCTACGACATCCTTAGCCGACTAGGGAGCCTCCCGCCTCGGCTAAAGATGTCGCCTCGCCGGAGACTGGACAAGTGAGGCCTTTCTTGCACGGGAAAGTGTGTACGCACATACACACATAAACGGACACACACACACACACACTCTCACGCGTACGCACATGCACACGCATACGCATGCACACACGCACGCACACACACAGACACACTCACGCGCACGCACATGCACACTCACGCATGCACGCACACACACACATACACACACACGCATGCACGCACGCACACACACACACGCATGCACGCACGCACGATCACACACACGCATACACGCATGCATGCACGCACGCACATACACACATGCACGCACACACTCCCACTCCCAGTGGGCCACTTTCCAGGCCGAGACGGGCTTGAATCCTCCAACCTCCTTCTGGCGGTCACCTCGTTCTTATTCGAAATAACCGTTCTGAACTTGTCCAATGATTATGATACTCTTCCGTGGGTTGTTACCTTGACGAGGTGGAAGAGCTTGTGTACCTTAAGGATTCTGAGAACTAAACCATCGGTAACAAGTCTACAGGCATCTGGGATGAGAGTAGACGAGTGCTGGTAGGGTCACCCATGATGGGAAGGTCTCAGGAGAAAGGGCAGACGAAAACAATCCGTGTTGTTTAGGATATATGGGTAATATCTGGCCCTTTTTGTATAATTTGTCGTGATAGTATAGATTTATTTCGGAATATGTATGTTTTTATACAAAAAAATATATTTTCTGTAACTTTTTATTACTTTATTTATAATAAATTGTGCATTATATAATTTACTGTCAAACATTAAATGGTGAATCATGCATTTAGCAATTATTCTTAAATCCACAAGCTGCCTGAAACAATATGATCTCAAACGTAAAAATATAATGTAAAGATAGCAGAAACGCCGAGAAAATGGAAAAATAAGAATACGTAAAATATATTACAATACGCATACACTTCCACATCACGATTTTTCACACACTTGGATACATGTAATCTTATACACTGATGCAAGGTCTAAAGAAGGTCTCTTTGCACACATGCGAACACAAAAACATACACATACACCGACAAGCAAGCACACAAAAATACCTCTGTAAAATCCAAGACATGAAGGTCCATTTCCATATGATATTTAATGCCAATTGACATATTTTAATATTTTAGTATATACCAGAATACATTTAATAACCTTTTAAGTTGAGGTTACAAATTATCTGAATTGATCAAGTGTCTGTCCTTGAAGTGGCCCAACCCACAAACGATTCTGGGGATACTTGACAGTATTAAACACGACAATTGAGGGAAAAGACCAGTCATTAACAGAAACTCAAGTGCAAATTACCATATTAATGAAAAAAGTTCATATTAAGCTAGGACTAACGGCAAACATGAAGAAGTTATGGTTAAGATCATTACAGACATCATAAAACTTACTCTCGAGAACTATGCTATGGAGTCCACATTTAAAAAAAGGATATTGAAAAAATGGAAAGAGTTAAAGGAGAGGGGCCACGAGATGAGCACCAACTGTAGGAAACATGAACTATAAAGACAGACAGATAACAGGACTTACTTTCTATTTTCGATGAAAGAACGAAAATGAGAAATATGATTCTCACAACCTATGTGCCTGAGCCACTTCGGTTTCGAAAATATGGTCATCACCTGGCTAGCTTCAAGGCCAAGCCCAAATGTGGTGTCTGTAGCAAGGCCCACACTGCAAAAGCCCCCCCCCCCCAAGAGACCATAATCTTCTCTTTGATGAGGAAGATATGACTCTTCTGTTGACTGCTGTAGTCACTGCAGGTGCAACAGCTTTGGGGAGGTCGAGTGAGGTGGCGGAGGAGGCAGTCACATCGCCAAGACGGCAATGGCCCAGACTGTTGCAACCCTGAAAGAGAGGAAGCTGGACAAAGCCAAACCAGACCTTACCCCCACCTCAGGACGAGACTTCCCTTCCTACTCCAACCCTGGCCAAGCTTTCATGCAGAGCTAAAACAGGCTGAATCTGTACAGACTGAGCTTACCCAGGTAAAGCCGGCAGTGGCTTAAAACACAGACAAAACCTGAAAAGTAAAAAGCCCAGCTAGCAAAAATAAGTGCTGCCAAAGGCTCTCGACCTCCCTGTGACAAACAAATCCCTCAATCAGCGAGGACTTCACAATGGAGTTGTCAGACTCTGAATCCAAATACAAGTCTAATACACGTCTCAGATGTAACACCAAGTAACATTATGACACATAACCTATGCACTACAGTCGAACATCAGTGGCTTCAATGCAAGAAATGCCCCCCTCCAAGCAACAGTGTGATCAAGGAACATTAACATGTCATTCTCCAGGAGCCATTAACAGCAAGGATTATAAGGACGGTCAGCGTGACGTCACTTTTGGTATCACGTGACCAGCCGGTGGCGCTGGTGGGCAAAACAACAACACTCACTTCTCGCTGTGCACAGTAACAACGTTGTTCGCTGTGTTGTCAAGCTTCTCGTTCAGATTTCGCCTTCTAGTTGTTCAATATTTTGTAAATACATTCAGTGTACATTTTAGGTTGTCAATATTCAATATAGTAAATAGCTGTATAGTCACTGGATGTGCTAATCGCCAAGTAAAGGCGTCGAAATTCAGTTTTTGCCGCCTGCCGGAGGACACTGAAAGAAGGAGACTTTGGCTGACAGCAATAAATCGCAAGAATTATAATCCTCCACCTGAAAGCGATGCCAGAGTTTGTGGAATTAATTTTATCAATGGTAAGTGCATCACTTTATTATATCAACAATAATACCTTGTTGCAGATTTGTCGTTGGACAACTCATTCTCTCTTCCTTTCTAACCAAATAACACATAGGCCTAAATCTTAATATTTCTTATCATTAAAATTTTATGGACAGAAATCAGGACACATCTTTCATTAATTGATCGGTGATTTGTTTAGGATTATTTAACTTTGGTCATACTTTCTTTCACCAAGAAGACATGGCCAAACACAGGAACCCAAAACATGGTGCCATAATAATTGCATCTCGAAATAGGATTATTTTGAAATACAAGTTAATACTTACCTGTAGGCTTCGAGAGATTTGTTGGCTTTTAGTTCCTTTTTTGTATAGCTGCCAGGTGTATGTATCAAATAAACATATATATCGCCAAAGCTTATATCAGGCCATCCACGTGGGCTATCAGACCATCTGACAAAGTAAACGGATCTGGTAAGCTTTTAGTACCCTTCGAATGCATAAACTTTTCGATATAACGTTTTCTCGCGACGGAGTCAAGAGATTTACAGTGCAGCGACATTCCTTTCACAGCTGATTCAGCGGCCATCATTCTTTTGCCCATCAGCGTTCTGCGCATGCGCGAAAAAGCGTGTTTGTTTTTGTTCTGATGACCGTGCCTATTCGCTTCTTAGGGTATCATATCTTTAAGCTGCCAAGCACAACTGGCACAAGAGGCTTGATCACCCTAGTCAGAGCAACAATCCCCCGCCCCCATTGTGCATCGGCCAATTTACTGTTCATCGAGATGTTGCTCTGGAGAAGTGTGATAAGAGTGGGGTGGACAGAAAGAAGAACCAACGAGTGGGTGAGAGAGCAAGTGGGCGTGAGAGAAGAGCATACTGCAAAAGATCAAGAGGAGAAAGATCCGGAAGTACGGTCATTGGAAGAGGAGGGGAGAAAGTTTGGTGCTGGCGACCATTAAAGGAGAAACCGATGGGGTCGGAAGGAGAGGTAGGAGAAGAATCGAATGGGTGTCGAATATCTTCAACTGGCAAGGAGGGCTGGAGCAAGCTCACATGCATGCTCATGGAAGGAGGTCTATAGCCCGATGACGGGCTTTGGCAAGAATCAATCAATCAAACTATCTCTTTTTGCCACACTAGACATACTAATATTGTGTTTTCTTTCCTTTTCTGCAAGAGCTATGTATTACTGTACCACTTCCTTCTTCATCCCTGATTGCCACATGATGAATATGCGACTTATAACTATTGTGCGAAATGACAGGCAGACTCCCTGTGGGGAGACAAGAAGCAGCAGCCGGTTCTAGGACTAGAATCCGAAGTGACCCCTGACCGCCGATGTCCTGTCCTCAGATAGATCGACCTTATGCACTTTAAGGTCTTCATTCCTTTTAATTGATGAGGCACTTGTTTTGTTCCTTCTTCGCGCGATTTATATAACGTTTATCAGTGTTCGTCATTCAAAACATTGGAGCACAACATACCAGAGCATCCTTGCCCTGAACTTGCTATGTGTGGACTTTCCTCATGATTTTTCTACTTCACCGTCGCCATCAGTCCCTTATGAAGAGCTCATGCCAGCATATAGAGGAAAATTAAAATTTATTGCAGGGCATCACGTTTTTATTACCGGTAAAAAGGTGTAGGAAAAGGTTACTGGAGATGCCAAGACAAGTACTGGGCCGCTAGAGTCCACACCGTTAATGGGAGAATTATTAAATGGCAAAACCTATCTGACTACCTCTGGAAAAACAGAGCTTGAGGGTTTGCTGTCTGAGGTGAAGGTACGAGCAACAAGCACAGCAGAACCGATCGGACACATCCGATCGGTTTCGACTTTCTCTGCCCGAACGAAAGTCGAAAGGATTCACCTTCGGTTCCTGGCGGGTGTAAACACTGGCTCGCCAATGGAACCTCCAAAGTAGTTCCTGCTGAATAAGTGCATCTCACAAGAGGGGAAGGACTGACGAGCAGGAAGAAATACCAGTTAATCAGTAAGAAGTTGAAATCGCTCATTGGAAAGATGGACAGTAGTGTCATTATTCAAGTACATTTCTTGGACGTTGTAGCCAAAGTGGTGGCCATCAACATTATGGCTTAGGATAGAATAAAGTCTACACTATACAAGTCCTCTGATTTGGTTCCTAATTTTATATACCATAACATGAGATGATAAAATGTATCACAGTATATAATATAATGCATTGTAATTTGATATGATTAATACATATATTAATCACGCTGGTACCGAAATTCTGTTTAAATTGACATTGTCATTTAAAAGCTTTCCTATTTCAACGTTATTCAAAGGGAAGCACCGGCATGGAATTCTCCTTGGCCATCTAACACATATTCAGCATATTCTTCTAGAGCCCATCTCTCGGGCTCCTACAGTTATTGCTTCTGTGAGTATATGGAAGGTTAGAGTCGTTGACTGTGATGGGTTGTGTGTTTTTTCATGTTATGGATTTGTTTATGTTTGTTCGTATATCCCAATGATTTTCAATGGTATTGATGTTTATAGCGTATAGTGTATAGTTCCTTCTGTTGTGATTATATGTGTGGTATAGTCTGCATAGGATATATAGTTCCTATAAGGTGCTCCTTCACACAGACTGTCGGTATACTGGATATGCAAGGTTGGTGATAAACGCTTTTGTGTGGTACTTAAATGCTGAGGTGGATAGGAGTGACCCCAGGCATATAGTGGCAATCCTTTCGTCCTGGAAAATGTACGGCATGTGTATGAAATATGTGGGAGGATGTAGTAATTTTAGTTTGTATTTGAGACCGTCATATCAAACCTTGCTGACAAAAAAAAAATATATATATATATCAAACCTTGCTGACATCTTGTAATATATCGTTTATTAGAGAAATCAAGAGCAATCTCCACGTAAGCGAGGGCAATAGCACTCCCAGTACCCCTGTGTGTGCGAAAGCCGTTTTGCATATTGATATGTATTCTGTAGTCTTCAAGATGTGTGAAAGGTCAGAGTATTATTATCCTTTCTAGCAGTTTCCCTGTGACTTCTAGCAATAATATGGGATGGTAATTTTCCACATGTAGAGATT